CTGTGTGAATTGGAAAAACAGGTTTGAAAAAGAAAGCTCAAAAGAGGCCTCAAAGACAAAACTTCACCCTCTACTCCCCTACCCAGGGAGAACTGGCTTCTCTTAGGCTGCTTGATCCCTTCTGAGGCTCTCTGGCTTGAGCTCTCGCCCCTTACTTACCCTGACCTCACCCACTGTACAAATGACCATTTGGCTTTGGGACAAGAGCCAGGAGAGGCCTAGTCTAGCAGAACTGACCTTTGCCCTCGGCTGGAGCAGCCCCTTGACCTTTCCCTTTCAAGGGTCCATCTTCTTCCTGGCCTGGCTTTGCTGACTTCAGGGGTTCTGTGGCCTCAGCCTTCTGTTGCTCTTTGGGAGCTGGTGGCAAACCAGTCACAGCAAGAGTGACGAGAGCAGTAAATGTGAAGGGAGAGTGAGACAGGGGGGGGGGGGGGAGGGGGGGCTCTGGGAATGGCGATTACCTGGTGGTGGATTCTCTGGGATAGCTGGCTGGCAGCCTTCAATACTCAACCAATGAGCTGCAAAGAAGGAACGTATTAGTTGAACTGCTAGACACAGACACTAGGGAGTCACTCCACACTAAGGAATGTATGTTTTCATTCCTATTACCACTTCCTACAACTCACCAGGGATCTCACACTGAGGGTTTCTTTGTCGTGAGCTTCCTCAAACCCATATGCATTGTTCCTCCTTTCCCTCCTCCCTACCACCCTGCTCTCCTCTCCCCCAACCTTTGAGGCAGACGTCCAGGGGCACCCGGGGCAGAGGGGTATTGATGATGTCGCTCAGGTCAACCTCCTTCTCCTCATAAAAGTAAAGCTCCCGGCCCCCACCAGAGGCGAACCGGAAAGGAATGAACTCCTGAGCGTGGAAGCCATAGAGTGGCTATATCAGGAGAGAAAGAGACACTGGCATGAGAAGGGATCCCACAAAGGCATGGCTGAAGGCAAATGCAGTGTCTGGGAGGACTGCTCTCACCACCCTGTCCCTGTCTCAGTCCTGTGTGTCCCAATCACCTCAACGTTCTTAAGCTTCAGTGCATAGTCAATGTCACTGGTGGTGAGCTTCTGCCGCTTCCCCATGTGCATGAACTTCAAGGCATCCTGGGAGTAAGAGAAGAGATGTCAGCCCAAGACCCTGAGGAAGAAGTGAGCCTGGGCAGAATCCTCAATACAATGCAGGGCTAGGTAGAGGGGCAGGGTTACCTGTGCAATCTCCTTGATGCGGTAGCTGACCTCATCTGTCAGCAGCTGGCAGGTTTCCTCCTGAATCTGGGCGATGCCCATCGACTCAGCCACCACCTTCATTGACTCTGAGGGCAGCACGGTATTGCTGAGCTTGAGCTTCTTCTCCTCAGCCATTCTGGAGCCCCCTCTTCTCCTCCCTGAGGAATGATGCCCCAGGGTAGAGAGATGGAGACCCTGGCAGGGGGATGGGGCAGGCAAAAGAGAAAAGGAAACATGAGACCCAAAGAATAAAGGCGGTCTGGTCAGGAGAGGACATAACAAATAAACAGTGGGTATGCAAGGAGGGAAGGAACTCAGGGGTGTCTTCTGTCCCCCATGTCAGTACTGGGTGTAAAAAAAGGAGGTAGCAATCAACATAATTGAGCTGTAGTTCTATGCCAGGCACTGCAAGTGAGGTAGAATGATCTTGGCTCTCAATTTAAACCCTAGCCTAGCACTACCTAGCTATGTCACTTGGGCAGAGTAAATTGTCCCAGGTTTGGGTTTCTTCTCTGTAAAACATGGGAAACACCTTTTTCCTAAGGTTGTTTTGCACATACCTTCATCTCTCTTGCCCCTTCTTGCGTCATTATTTGTTCTTGACACAAATACAATATTGGCAAAATACAATTCTCCTGAGCCGATAACATATACCCACACAATTCAAGGTGATGAGAAACACCCCTAATTGTCATGGCCAATTCCCACTTTAAATTCATGGCCATAAACTTTTAATGGGCCCTTAATGCTGCCAGACAATCATACTACATGTAGTACCTTTTCTACTTCCTTGCTTTTGGCTATCATAAGGGACCTCCATAGACTCCCACCACATCTACCACCTGAGCAGCACCAGTGCTCACATACTCTGCCTTCCTATTTGTTATTATAAACTGTTCATGCCTGTCACCAGCTCAAGCATTTCTTCCATCTCCCCCACATCATCAATTTCTCAACCTATCAGATGGCTCCCATCAGCTTAAAAATGCAGTTATTTCTCCCATCTTAAAACAAAACAAAACAAAAGTGGTCTACATACAATGAAATATTCAGCCTTAAAAAGGAAATTCTGACACATGCTACAACCTGGATGAACCCTGAGAATTGAGAACATAATGCTGAGTGAAATAAGTCGGTCACAAAAGGACAAATATGGTATGATTCCATTTGTGTGAGGATCTTAGAGTAGTTAAACTCAGAGTCAGAAAGTAGAATGGTGGTTGCCAGGGGCTGGAGGTGGTGGGATAGGGAGTTATTGTTTAATAGGTACGGAATTCCAGTTTTATAAAATGAAGAGTTCTGGAGATGGATGGTGGTGATGGTTGCATAATATTGTAAATATACTTAATGCAATAAACTACACTTAAAAATGGTTGAGATGGTAACTTTTATGTGTATTTCAGCAAATATACATTTTAAATAACCTTTTCATTCCACTTTATATGCTATACTCCACTTTTCTGGCTCCTCCTTGTAATAAAACTCCCTAAAGAGCTGTCTTAACTGTTTCTAATTCCTCTCCTCTCCTCTCTTGAACCTACTCCAATCAGGCTTTTGATCTTGCTAGGTCCCTGAAACCACCCATCAAGGTCACTGATGACTCTGCATCGCCAAATCCGAGGCCCACTCTCTGTCCTCATCTTCTTTAACCTCTCAGCAGCACATAGCATAGCTGACTACTCCCTTCTGAAAGCACTTTTACTCCACTGCTGTACTACCTTCTCCTGGTTTTCCTCCTACTTCACTGGCCACTCCCTCTCGGTTCTCTTTATTGGTTCTTCCCATCTGCTTAATGTTGGAATGTCGGGGGCTCAGTTCTTAATCTTCTTCTCTAGCTACTTATTCACTTGGTGACCTCAACCTCTCTCACAGTTTTCAATATCGCTTACAGGCTAAATTTATATCCCTAGCCCAGAGTTCTTCCTAGCTCTAGACTTGTATATCAAACTGTCTACTTAAAACCTCTACTAAAATTGAACTCCTGATCTTCCCCCTTCCCACATGCTACATCCTCAGCTTCCCTTGTCTTTGTAGTAACACCATCCATCCAGGTGAGTCCTCACATCAAATCCACCAGAAGACCCAACCTGAACACTCCATTCACACTGCATGGTCACGTTCCCATCATCTAACACCTGAGTAACTTCAACAGCCTCCTGACAAGCTCTTCCTGGTTCCACCCTTGTTCCTTACAACTATTCCTAACATAGCTGCCAAAGTGATTCTGTCAAATCATAAATCAGATTAGGTCATTTCTCTGCTCAAACCTGTAATGGCTCCCCATTTGCCATAGAATAAAATCCAAAATTCTCACTATGGTCTACAAGGCCCTGCCTGATTTGTCCTCTCTGCATATCTCTGATCTCCTTTCCTTCTTCCACCTTGATCCAGTCCCACAGTCCTCCTTGATGTTCAAAACTGACAGGCATGCTCTCGCTTTATGGCCTTTGCCTGTTCTTTCTGCCTGGAATGCTCTTTCCCAGACGTCTGCTTGGCTGCCTATTTCTATCACCCTATTTAATAACACATCCCATTCCCACTCTGCTTTTTTTCCTCCATGGCATTTAACAACTATTAACATACATATTGTATCACTTATTGTTAAACACTACCACATCTCCCCTTCCTGCACCGTGTGGACAGAGATCTTTGTTATATTCACTGATATATTCCAAGACTGCAGACTGTTGCCTGAGACACTGTATTCAATGGATATTTGTTGAGTAAATGAATGGTGAGGCTTAAAAATGTAGGTGCTCAATACATCCTCGGTAACCACTACTATCAAAATGAACAAGATACAGGCCCAAGCTTGGAATCTACTCTGTGACCAAAAGTAAAGTGATTCGCTTGAAGCTGTCATTAGGAAGACTAATGTCAAAAGCGTTTAGGACTGACTGCGGGATGCAGGTGGGGGCGTGCTGGAGCGGTGCGAAGATGGAGGCGAAAGAGAATTTGGTTCTTCTCAAAGCATCTCAGGTCTCCTCCCTTACTTTTTAAAGTCTTATCTGTAAGAAACACATTTATTCAACACATACTCCATGCCTGGGGCCGGGTATACATGAGGCGGTCGAGTCCCAGTTTCCTAGAGAACACCTACTAATCTTTCAATACCCCGCAGTACCCTCTGTCAGTAAAGGCTCATAAAACACGTGACGACCTCAGGAGCCCCTCAAGTCAGTGGAGTCTGCAAGAAAGCTTCACGGGGAAGGGCTAACTTGAGCTAGATCTTTGTAGTCACCCCAGCGGGGAAGCGGGTCGAAGATCCCCAGGCAATGGGTCGAGCGCGAAAGCAGCAGCAAAGAGCCCACCTCATCCCCCAACATCCCTCCAATGCAAAGAGTCCCCATGCGCACGGACACACAACCAACCGTCCTCCTCCTGGTCCCCACACAGGCCCATCAAAGGGTCTAGTCCCCGGTACTACTCAGATGCGCCCCCGCCAGCCGAGCGCCCCGCGCTGGAAAAGACTCTCACCGCAGCCAAAGCGCCGCTCACCCGGCGCTCGGCGCCATGTTGGCCCCGCCCCCTCCCCGGAGCAGGTCCTGGCAGAGTCGGGAGCAAGTCACCGCCCCTTCTCTGAGCCGGAATAAGTCCTCTAGGCTCACAGCCTGAAACCACATAAAAAAACGCTGGTGTCGCTGTCTACGTGTAAGGAGCACATTCCCCTTCTGTAATTACTCCTGTTTATTCCTTCACTACCGGGCGGCCAGGACCTTTGGGAGGCGCTACAAAACCGAGGCGGGGAATCCCAGAACGCGGGAAGGCTCCACCCCCTTTCCGGCCGGCACTGCGCTTGCGCCTCCAGGGCCAGGCTAGATTAAAGTTGCCACCGACTGCCTCGGAAATTAAAGGGCCCGCTGCCTTCCCGAAGTTGGTTTGAAGGCAAGGGGTGGTTGGTTGAGAACAGCACTCTGTCATGGGACCTGTGCGGTTGAGAATGTTGTTTTTCATTTTGACTGTGTACGGTGCTTGGGCTGGGACGCCGAAGGAAGAGGACAATGACACAGAACGCTTGCCCAGCAAATGCGAAGGTATCTGAAGGGAGTAAGCCCTTATTCATATCCCTCTGGCTAGTCTTTCGTCTGGGCCGGACCAAATGGACCGATGTGGGTGGGTCACTCGACCTCCTTGAAGACCAGAGGGAGATTCTGGTGGAGTTTGGCGTAAATCCAATGGAGTCAAGGGAGGAAAACTCATAGCGTTACCCCAAAACTATGGCACTGCAATTCCCATGAGATCCAGAGAATGCCCGCTTTTTCTTACTGGCTTGGGCCCCCAATGATTTGTGGGAATTGTAGTTCAGGGACTATTTGCGCAGGACTTCCCACTCCACTGAGCATCTTCAGTGTGTGTGTATCAATCGTGCATGACTTTCTCCCTAGAGTGTGTGTGTGTATGTCTGTGTCTGTGTGTGTGTCTGTGTGTGTGTCTGTGTGTGTGTGTGTTTCCATACCACTGGACCTAAATCTGGAGAGCCTGCAGGAGCGGAGTGTGAGGCTCTTACCTTGTTGACATCCTCTGCTCCACCTCGGCAGAGACGCTCCCAAATTACAGGTCCCACGCTCTCCTGAGGGATTTAGGGATAAGTAAATCAGCCCTTGAAAGCTCATAAATGAAAGAGGCCACACAACTGGGAGAGGTTCCCCATACCTGTGAAGCTTTGCAAAGGGAGAGTACTTATGGATTTCACAGCGAGCAGCATCATCTGAGGCTGCATTAAGAGTGGGGCCCAGCTGGGAGCGGGCACTTCAGAGTTGGGCCATTGAGTACTCTGGTTCCCTAATTTGTTGCCTTCCTAACTTTAGTTTTGTCCCTGAATTCTTTTGCCCTTAATCTGCATTTCAATATCCGTGTTCTTCAAGACTTGGTCCCACTCTTCTCCCCGACCTCTGTCAGTTTTTTTAAACATATACCAGTCTTGTCAGTCCTTGCTTTTTAACATCTATGCAGGCCTCCTGCTGTGATCAGAACACAGCCAGCATTTTTAGGGCAGAGCACATGTCTCTCTGTTGTATGGCCCCACCTTTCTTACATTTCCATGCCCCAACTTCCATCCCCAAATTGCCCATACTTCAGCCACACTGAACTTCTCAGCAGTCACTGAGCCTGCCTTATCTTCTCAAACCTCTGTGCTTTTGCATGCTGTTTTTCCCTTTGCCTGGAATGACTTTCTCCCTTCTGTATGTTCTTAAAGATCCAGTTTAAATGTTACTGCCTTTGGAAGTATTTCTTTTCTGTCATCTCCCATTATAGTGTACACGCTTGGAGTGAAAGAGAGTACCTGTGTCTCCCAGGTCCTAGCATCATGCGTGGCACATTTTGGGCACTTTTGTTACTTGCTCCTGTGTTTAATTCACTTGGCACCTCTGTATAGGCCACTCCCTTTCTTGGGACCTCTTACATGCCAGGCCATATTCTAGGTGCTGGAAAGACAGTGGTGGAATAGATGCAATGCTCACCCTTAAGGAAATTGCAGGCTAGTAGGAAGTCCATGTGACCATTGAATGAGTTTTGAATTTCGTAATGAGTTTAAGGCACTTGGTCTTAACCCTTAGTGTAGGGTCCATTGCACCATATTGTCATCTTTTTATCTGTCCCCAACTACACTGGCAATGTCCATGGATAGGCACTATGGGTCTTATTGCTCTCTGTATTGCTATGTGCATCCAGGAGGAGCTCAATAAATAATTGCAGAACAACAGCAAAAACTTATACAATGCTCACTATGTGCTAGCACTATTCTAAGAGCTCTACGTAGATTGATTTGTTTAATCCTTACCACACCCCTATAAAGAGGTACTATTATTATATGTTTTGGAGGTGAAGAAACCAAGACACATCAGGAATGTCACACAGCTACTAAGCTGCTGAGTCAGGATTGCAACCCAGCCAGGCTGACTCCAGAGTCTGCACTTGAAACCACCATGCTCTGCTGCCTTTGTTCATCTGCAGAATGAGTTGCTGGCATGTTTATCTCTCAATCCCCTCAAATATCTAGTGTGTAAGCTGCTGAGCCTGGAGCTACAGGAAGAACTGAGTCGTACTGGCCGATCCCGAGAGGTGCTGGAGCTGGGGCAGGTGCTGGACACAGGCAAGAGGAAGAGACATGTCCCCTACAGCGTTTCGTGAGTCCTTGGTGCTCTTCCACCTTCTAACCCCTAAAGGAACCCTGGGAGCTTCTACAGTATTCAGGGAATCTTTGTTTCTCCTCTTCCCACAGAGAGACAAGGCTAGAAGAAGCCCTGGAGAATTTATGTGAGCGGATCCTAGATTACAGTGTTCATGCTGAGCGCAAGGGCTCACTGAGATATGCCAAGGTCAGACTATTCCCCAGGGCAGGGTCCCACTTCTCAGACTTGTATCCTCTGAGGCCCACCTCCCCCAGCTCTCAAGTGTCCCCTTCTCATCGTTAGACTCCCTCATCTCACCCTTATGGAACTCACCTCTGAGTCTCCAATAGTTGACAACACTGATATGGCGGATAGGGGAAGAGGTGGGCTGGGCTGATCCCATATTCCCATCTCTCAGGGGCAGAGTCAGACCATGGCAACACTGAAAGGTCTGGTGCAGAAGGGGGTGAAGGTGGATCTGGGGATCCCTCTGGAGCTGTGGGACGAGCCCAGCGTGGAGGTCACATTCCTCAAGAAGCAGGTAGGATAGGATACTGCACTGCCCAGGGAGGTGAGAAGGGAACCTGAAAGGGGAGCTAGATCCTAGAGAGGCCTACCTCTGAGCAAGAAGTGGCGAGAGTAAAGACTCTGCCATTGATTGAAGTGTGCCCAGGAACATATCAAAGAATAATAATGGAAACTAAAAATATGCACTACCACTTACTGAGCACCTACAATGTGCCAAATTCAGGGCCACATACATTTCAGCTGCTGCCTCATTTTACCTTCACAACTACCTGATTACCATTTCCCATTTTACAGGCAAGGAGCTGAGACTCAGAGTTTAATAACCTACCTGGCAGAGTAGATGCTAGTAAATTTTTGTTAAATGAATAAGGATCACACACCTCGTAAGCCAAGTTTAACCTTCTGGCTACCTGCCTCTCCAAGATGGGGTAGAGAGACAGGGAGTGAAGAGCAAAGAGGAGAGTTTCCAAAGCCCAGCAGAGCAGATAGCCTTCTGACCCTTACTCTTGACCAGTGTGAGACGATGCTGGAGGAATTTGAAGATGTTGTGGGAGACTGGTACTTCCACCATCAGGAACAGCCCCTACAGCATTTTCTCTGTGAAAGTCATGTGCTCCCAGCTGCCGAAACTGGTAAGTGTGTGAGCTGGCCCCTTTCCTGCACAGCCACAACATCCCCTACCCCCAGGACTACAATCTAAATTGTTTTCTATCACCCAACCTAGCGTGTCTACAGGAAACTTGGACTGGAAAGGAGAAGATCACAGATGGGCAACAGAAGACAGAAGGGGAGGAGGAGCAAGAAGAGGAGGTGGAAGAGGAAGAGGAACAAGAGATGCCCAATACATCAGACTACCCCAAGCATAACCCAGAGGATCTTTGACTCCTGCTTTTGAGCCCCCAGGAAGGGCAGGGGTCACAGAGAATGCTCTGAAGTCTGAGCTCTCCCTGCCCCACAGCTTTAAGGGTGTGTGTGTATATTTGAGTGACCCAACTCAGAGCTTGTAGCTGTTCTCTCCCATTTGGTCTCAGGCAGGATCCTGATGGTACAGCACGGCATGGCTATGGGGAGAAAAGTGTGAGCAGTAGGTGGAAGCCCTACCCCAATAGATGAGCCCTTTGCCTGCCATCTAGCCCGTTAATTGTAGGTGTATGTGGTGACTGTATTGAAGGTTTTCCTCTTTAAATATCTACTATTCCCCACCCCACCCAGAGGTCAGCGATGCATAGGAGTGTGGACCTTGGGAAGTTCACTTTGCCCCCTTTATAGACCCTTACAAGGAAGAAGCCAGATGGGCATTCTCTACATCTACATCGCCTATGTCCAGGAGTCTACTTGCCAAAAAACTGAGGAGGGGACACGGTGATGTTGCTAAGTTAAGTGGGGTAGATACTGATCTACTTCATATTAATTTCACTGAGGGCCCACCACATAATTTCACAGGTGCCAAATTTTCTTTATCACTAGTAAACTTAAAAATACATCAGCTGGGTCCAAAGTTTCACAACTGCAGTGCACACAGCACAGCTGGCCGATGTGGAAGCGCCCAGATGAAGGGGTTGTTAGAACCTAGTGGTACTTTGTAAGGTTGCTGCAGGAGGAGGCTACCAGGCACCACCCACTTGAAGACCATATTTAGGCTTGGGTCTGTGCGGCCTGTCTGCGCATGCCGGAGAATGCGCCGGGATTAAAATTCAGTGTGTGGTGCCACCTCGGCCGCCATACTTGGGATTACGGGCACTCGCAAAGGACAAAATCCTTCAGGCTTTTTCCGATTTCTGTTTTTTTTTTTTCTCGGAAAGAAGAAGGCAAGACATAAGGAAGACGGTATAACTAGATCCAAGGTAGAGAGCGGCTTCGGTTAGAGTGAGGGAAATAAAAAAGGACATCCTCTGGAAAGTGATTGAGTGTGGGTCTACCACGCGAAAGGAGTGGGGCGGGGGCCGAAAAACGCTGAAGGACACGTGGATTTACTTGGAAGGAAAGGGTGGGCGGTACCATCTTTGGAAGGGTGGGAGGCGATACCACCTTACGGGTGCGAAGGGGCGGCAAAAAACAGATTTGGAAGTGCCATTTGGCGGACACTAGGGGCGTGTGGGAACTCGAAAGGACTGAAGAGTTGCCTACAGCCCCACTTCCTTTCCCCAGGCCTTCCCTCTCCGGCCATGAGCAGGCGACTGCGGACCGAGCCGCTGCGCGGGGAGCTTCCAATGCGGATGCCAGGCAACCCCTACTCTGTGGTGGTTCTTCTGAAGGGCTACGCGGAGCCCGAGAGGGTCGGTGACGCTGTGCGCGCCGACGGCTCTGTGACCCTTGTTCTGCCCCAGGCCTGGGGCCAGGCCGGCAGCCATGGAGAGCTCCCGCCCGAGGGCGGCGAGGCGAAGACGGCCCTGGAAGCGGCGGCCGGCGGCCCCATCCTCGTGGACACTGGGGGCCCCTGGGCTCAGGAAGCGCTCCTGAGAGCCCTGGCCGGGCAGGGCGTGGCTCCCGCAGACGTGACACTGGTGGTGGGGACCCATGGACACTCGGATCACATAGGGAACCTGGGGCTGTTTCCCGGGGCGGCTCTTTTGGTCTCGCATGACTTCTGCCTCCCCGGGGGCCGCTACCTTCCCCATGGGCTTGGTGAGGAACGGCCCCTGAAGCTGGGGCCGGGACTCGAGGTGTGGGCCACACCGGGTCATGGCGGCCAGCGGGACGTGAGCGTGGTGGTGGCAGGCACCGCCCTGGGCACCGTAGTGGTGGCAGGCGATGTGTTTGAACGCGATGGGGACAAGGACTCGTGGCAGACGCTGAGTGAAGACCCGGTGGCCCAGGAGAGGAGCCGGAAGAGGGTCTTAGGCACTGCGGACGTAGTCATACCTGGTCACGGAGCCCCTTTCAGGGTAATCAGGGAACCCTGGAATCCAGAGTCAAAGGATCCAGGGAACAACTGGTAGGATCCTGTGGTGGAAGACAAGGAGCGCCGGTAGTGCACGGATAAACCCTGGAAGAGACTGGACTTGACATGGAAACTCCCTTTTCCCCAGTCAAGGAACTGACACCAGGACACGGTGAAGACCAGGTCAGCCAGAGTCAGAAAAGGGTGGTCATTTCCAACCTTTCCAGGAGGTAGGTTTTCCTGGGAAGAGTGCTTCTGCCACTGTTGTCACCAGTATCACTATTTTTGCAACCAAACTGGGACCAAGGACTGGATCAGCTGTATTCCACCTCCTGAGGCTTCATTAATAAAATGAGAGAATGTTCTTGGGGTAGTCATCCCAAATAAAAATAGGAAACTACATTGAAAATCATATTGCCCTAATATAAATATGAAGCATTAATGTTGATAATCGTGCAATTGTAATAAGCAGCTGCAACAAGGGGGCACTTTGGCCAATTGCCTATGTCTCATGGGATGCAGGTTGCTGAAAGAAGGTGCAGAGCATAAAACATCTTAGTTATCTGACTTTATTCATTCGTTCATTCAATGAGTACTTATTTAACACCTACAATGTCTCAAGCACTGCTCTAGGTCACTGGAATGAATACAACAGTGAGTAAGCTAGACAAACCCTTCTCATGTAGAATACATTTCTATTGAGACAGACAACAACAATAATAGGAAACCAAATAATCACAAGTTGTGGTTAGTGATTTGAGAAAAAAGCAGCCCGAGAAGGGGATAGAATGCTGGGGTGTGAGAGTGGTCAGAGAAAGCTTCTGAGGAGAAGATGTTTGATCAGAGAGCTAAGAAGAAAGCCATCCATATGAGGATCAGGGAGAGGGGCATTCTAGGCACAGGAACAGCATACATGAAGGCCCCGAGACCAGACAGCTTGACCTGCTTGAGCAGCAAGAGTCCATGGGGTTGGAAGAGTGGCAATAAATGAGGCTGTAGAGTTAGGCAGGACCATTATACAGGACCTCAGACCATGGTAAGGGGCTTGGATTTTTACTTGAGAAGCCTTTGGCTCTTGAGCAAGCTAATGACCTGGTCTCATTTTTGTTTTAAAATAATCACACTTATTCTGAGTGGAGAAGAGGTTGGAGTGGAGCAAGAATAGAATCGGCTGTAGTTAGGAAGCTATTGCAGTCTTCTAGGCGAGAAAAATTTATGGCACCTGCCCATATCTCAGAACTCCTATTATGACTGTGATCCTCTTCACAACAGTCCTCAGGCCCTCTATCCACACAGCCTCAGGACTGGCAGAAGCACTCAGGTGGGGCAGATAAAGGAAAGGAGGAAATCTGCCTTGTTTTGGATGGTGAGCCTATCTAGGTGGATGTTTTTGAGCAGGACCAAGCTAGAGTCATTTCCCAGGTGTCCACAAAGGCCATGTGGAGGTCAGCAAAGGCAGCTATGAGGAGTGGGTTCACCTGGAGGGTGAACCAGTTGCTTCCATACACTGGACTTGTAGGGTATACACAAGAGGGCAACCACAGCTGCCCTTTTCTCTGCCAGTCATCAGATAAAGGTGGATGCAAGTAAAGTAATAAAGTGGGTCCCAGCACCACCATGGTGTAGGGGGCCCCGAGTCAGCCCCCACCCTCTTCTTGGACCATAGAATGCAGGGAAGTCACTGATATGCAAAGGGAGCTCAGGGACCAGCTGTGGAGCAGAGGGTGGAGCCACAGCACAGAGATGACACAGGAGTTCACCTTCTTTGAAGAGAGTTCTGTGCCCTTGTGATCTCTCACCCGCCTTTACCAGGAGCAGGAGAAAGAGCCTCTCACAGGTTCCTATAAAGCTAGTAAGCTGTTAAGACATTTAACTCTACAAGTTAAATGGCTAAAGATGGAGTTGTTCAGTTTATGTGTTAATTAAACAGGTTACTGGTTTTCTTGGTTTGATCATCTGTAATCACATGCTTCCTTTTGGCTTCTCACCCTCCTCCATATCACTGATATTACTGTCTTTAGTGAGAGGCCTACACAGTATAGAAATCTGGAAAGGCAATGACACCTGAGTCCTGGGAAAAGGACATCGAGAAGAGCAGGTCTGGGTTCAAATACTGGCTCACCACTTGTAGCTTTGAGAAAAGCACTGTAATCATTCTGGTTCTTTTCATGCTTCAAATGAAAACATCCAATACCATATTCAGGGTCGTTCATGATATTTAAATGAGGTGATAGAGGTAAAGGCTTAACACGATCCATACTAGTTATTATCATAAAGGAAATACAATGGTTGATTGCGGGGCAGACCTTGGGATCTGAGCTGCCTACCACTGTTTGGGGACTTAGTGTTTCCAGGCCTGAGGCAGTCACTGAACAAAAGTACTAGAGGAAGAATCTTGGGTATGAGCTATCTATTACAATTCATTTTTGGAAAGAAGGACAGAAGTTAAAAGCAACATCAGTTTTCTCCTTGGATGCATCAGATAATCCTACAGGTACTTTTATTTTCATGGGCAAGGGAAGGAGGTTGAAGAGGGATTTGGAGCAGATAATTCTTTCTCTCAGGTCCTTGATGGCTTTTAACCTCTGCTGGCTTCTGAGTCATCTGTGTCTGGCTGGGGTTATTATGGGTTTATTAAGTGGTGACCCCTCTGTGCAGCTTACTCTAAGGAGGTCATCATTCAGTCCCACTCCTTAAGCCTTTAGGATCGAATAAAGGGTCTCTTCCTGGGGGCTGTCATGGGAAGGGTGGCAGGGAGATGCTGACACTGAGGTTGAGCTGGAGAGGGCAAGGGAGGCATAGAGGATGCCATCATCCTGGGTCAGAACAGAAAGAGAAGGGGGTTAGAGAGAGGAGGGGGAGAAGACCCCATCTCAGAGCAGTGATCCTACACGTGGGTGCGCCACTGATAACACAGTCCTTCAGTTCTACCCCACCTTCTCCAAACTTCCCTTTAATTCTTTCAGGCCCTACTCTGAGCTGCTTATTTTATGATCCAGCTTGGGGTCTCTATGTTGTCCTAGGAAAAAAGTCAAGATATGCTAGGTCAGGTAGCATGGCAGTCAAGGTAGAGAAATGGGCAGTGGGCTCAGTGGTGAAGTCATCTGCTGTGTCAGGACTAGGGTCACATGGGAGGGATGGATGAGTCCTTTAAAAGAGGAAAATGCTTAGAGGCACATGTGTGGGGAGGGAGTGTGGGGAAGAAGGATGGGCCAAGCTGGAGAGTGGGGAGTGACAGTAGGACTGACCTTTATTCCCAGTGTTCTCACACTTCTCCTCAGTGTTTCGGAAGGATCCCCTGCATGGGAACAAAAGGGTGGGAAATGCATTC